GCTCTAAGAATACCTCTGCGGCGGTGCCCGTGGTGTTTGAATTTGTGCTGACCCTGAAGTGCTAACTGGTCTTGTTTCATAACCCACTTTTGTTTTATTTGGTAATGTTGTAATGTGGTTTTTGAATGCCTCCGACTTCGATACTCCGTTCGCAAGATGGGTGCATTCTTTTAATTTAGAGATAAGGTTTCCAATTCCACAATACATCGGGTCATTGGGTTCACGAATCATTATTTCAAATTCTTTAATTGTAATTGGCGTAAATTTCTTTTTTACCAATTTTGAATTTCCATCATATGCCAAAAAAACCGGTGTCAATGCGCCTAGAAAAGCCATTAAAATAAATTCCGAAATAAATAACAATATCCTCTTTATAATTGATACTTACCAAGTTCACTGTCAGAAAATCTCAGTAAAAAAGTACCAACAACTAGTCGTTTGCGAAGTTGTTGAGCGCTTAATCTGTCACTCGAAAAACCATCAATAAGTCCATCCTTCCACGCTTCACTGAGACATTTTTTTGTCAATATAGTGGCACAAAAAAACCAATCCCAATAAGTAAATGTAAACTTCGGCATTTTGGCGCATGATTGCGACCACACAAATTGACCATTTTTTATGATTCCGTTGCTACACTTCTCATCTGCAAGTGTGAATCAAATTGAATAAATGAAGCTCAAGTACTCAAATTGCACTGTTCGTCCAGGGTTTTTACACTGTGCGTAAGTTACGAAACGAACATTTTCCAAAGCGGATTTTAAATCAAAATAAAAAAGTCAAATCATTTGATTTGATGTACATTATTCAAATGAATTAAATGATTTGATTTTATTTAAAATATACACGACCATCCAAATCAAATCAAAAGTTTTAACAAATCATTTTATCTCAAATCTGAGAACAATGTTACAAAATACGGAGTGAGACACGAAGAAAGTTCATGTATGTATTCGCTGCATGTTGGCAAAGGCTGCTTCGCTACATATCAAACCGATGGAAAAGGCTAATAAAGAATAATTCGTGCCTTGGTATTTCATGTTTTTGTAACTTACGCATGGTGTAAAAACCCCGGGTGAACGGTGTAATTTAAGTGCTTTGGAAACAGCAATAAAATGGCAAAACTCACACAATGCTTTCAAATTCAAATCGCTCAAATCGCATCCAGTTTCATGCTTGAAGATCGTCTTCAAAAGTACTTCCATGCTTTCCCAAGGAACTGACGACTTTGAATTCGATCGGTCTACATTTGGAAAATGTTTATCCCACCAAATAGCGGCTTTAGCTACCGATTTTTGATTTTGATGAACAATCACAAAAAATGGCCACGACTTAACGGATGCCTATTTGAGTGGAAATATTGTTGAATATAGTACTTGGGTACACAATTTACAATAGTTTTACTCACACAAAATTGCATATTGTCAATTTGAAAATTAAAACAAAACTTCAAGATATATTTCTCTGACGCCACTCTATCGCTACGTTTATTTCTTGACCGATGAACTTTTGTCACTTTCATGTTTTTAAGGTGACATATTAAACTTTTATCTTCCACTTGAAATTGTGATGTTCCAATTGTAGCTCCATTTTCAGTCGTAGGTGATGTTTCCATCTCTGTTTCTATTCATTGAAGCAATATCATTAAAAATTACCATAATTTCTAGGCAAATTGAGTGGCGTTAGTTTACAAAATTTGGTGTCGAAGACTGTTGTATTTGAGTATTTTTATTTGAAACTTTTCAAATCAAATCAATTTATTTTACGAGGGTTGCTTCTTAAGTCCGAATAATATGTTATTTCTGGTCTTGCCAGATGCAAACCATTGTCATACGGCGTCAGTAGGAAAAAGTCGATTTCGCGAAAAAATGAAATTTACAAAAAAGTTAATTTTCAATAAGTTTTCAAAGAGAGGTCTCTGCTCAAGAGTATTACTTCTGACCTAAGTTGGGGTATGGAAAGGAAGTACTATGTCTTGCCACTGTATACAACTGGTTCACTCAATCCCATCGTCATGGTGCTAGCCACAGAGATCCATTGCGCGATGGTCCTTCGAAAATTGATGTCATCGAGGAACACTCTGGTACCAATTGATATAGGATCGAAGTTTCTTTTACAATTAAATTGTGGCATATCTGGGCATACCATCCCACGACAAACATTCAATATTGCACAATCACCTGGCAGTTTGTACCTTCAACCCACATAATTCGAAAATTGTTCAGAAATTCAACCTTTTATTTGGCAGTAGGAAATGTTCAAGTAAACTTAACATAGGATCATAAAAACACGTCTATACGATCGCAACAGAAGCCAAGACATGATTCCAGTGCTTTGGACCCGAAAGAAAAGCACGGTCGACTCTCTGGAGGATCAAAGGTCCTTCAATGCTGAACATTATACAACCATTTACCTGCCAGAAGTCATCATGGAATTATAAAAACCAAACCTCTGAAACTTATGATCCCCAATCAGGGCAAAAATCAGCCCATCAAACAGTCGACTATTTGACCACTAAAAAGATCGAATTGATGCACCATTCTCCGTGTACGTCTAATTCGGGACCTCTCTGTCCACCAGTTGGATATAATATATTGTTCGTATTTGAAATTGAGTGTATATCCAAAAAAGTGTACTTCTTGGGGTGTCATGTTTAACCTGCTGCCGTAGCCACATCACAAAACCAAAATTCCTTATGTAATAGCTATTGTTCATGAAAAATGCCCAACTTTACGAATATGAGAATGGTTTGTATCTGGCAACACCAGAAGTACCATATTATTCGAACTTAAGGAGCAACCTACGTATTAAAAAACCCATTTTGAGAACCCTGCCACCAACATTGCAGGCGTGCTGCTCTCTGGCATTTATAAGTTCGTCCCTATGTAAAGACATTGCTTTCATCTTCTTCTCAATTTTTCTTGCATTTGCGTTATAGCATCTTAACTTTCAGATACTAGGCTCTGAATGGAGTGCGATCTGACCATCACACACTAATAAAATAAACACATTATTTACAGAATACGAAAAAACTTACCTGAAAACATAGTTACGTCAAGATTTAATTTTCTTACACTAGTGAACCTGCCCAATGTCAACAAAACGCGTACGGTCGTTGTACAACTAAATATGTCAAAAATTAGTTTTATATTTCTTCGGACCGCAAAATTGATCAAGAAAATTGTTTTAAACACTTACTTCTTTTCCTTTGTCATGATTTCAGATGGTTGATTTTCCAAAACCATTATCGAATTGATCAATTGCTTAAAAAGTTCATTAAGTTCGTGAAGTTCAGCGTAGCAACATCTCTCATCATATTTTTGGATGCCATTGATCAGTGTTCGTGTGTCCCGAATAATTTCTGCCAATTCGTCGAACCACACTTGAATCTCAGCAAGTCGTGATAAGCATGATTCAGGTAAATTTTGACATTCTCGAAATGGCGACAAGAAGTTGTTACGCGATTCTATGACCATTTGGAGTACATAAGTCATCAGTTGAATGACACTTTTTATTGAATCCACAATATCGGCTTGATTATTGCATCCCGGCAAGTAGGATTTCCATTGAAATTCAAGTCGTTGCATCGATATTTTATTACACATATTCAACATGCGTAAATATTGAATTTTATAATCTATTTCTTGACATTGTTTATTTTCATCATTATAAATATTCCGTTCACCAATGAAACCATCAATAAATTGTTTCGCGAAATGGTCGTACGATGACATAATTTGGCCCATATCGATGCTTCCAATCCAATATTTTAATACTTTTATATCCATTTCCTGATGACTCAAAATCAATTGTTGAACTAAACATCTCATAAAATTGTGTCGATTTTCGCGTGAATCATCTGGTATGTTACCACTGATCCATTCAAATAATAACTGACGCAATCCAAACACTATGTCATCTTTGTATAAAGATTTTACGCGAATGAATGGCACTTCATTATACCACGTATTCCATGGAGCCATCGTAGTTTGTATCGAAAACACATAAATTTATTATAAAATCGATGATCCGCCGTTCGATTGACTTTGTTTCAAGTACAATTTTATTGAATGAAATAATTTCGTGGAAAATAATCTACTAGAACATAATCTATTGAAGAGTAATAATCGTCGTTTTAATCGTCTCTATTCGAAAAAAGTAAATAGACTGCTTACTTTCATGTGCTTCGGAGTTTATGTATATTGTTGTTATCATGGCGACATACATACAGAATATACTGGTATTGTGTAAGTGATAATACGTTCGTATGATATACATTAGGGTGGAGCGTTTTTGATCTTTTTGGAGTATTGATTTGTACACTTGGATTTATTACTTTTCCGCACACCCACTGTGTGCAGTAAAGTATTGCGATCACCCTAAAATTTTGAAATCGCTAAAAATCGTTTTTCTATGCGTTTTGGGTATAGATAATCACAGAGCAACGGTTTTTTGGCCATGTTAATGTGAGGATGTGGTACACTGTACACTGTACCCTGTACCCTGTATAGTGATGTGCCGAGGTTTATTTTCCCGGAAAAATAAAATAAATTCCCGGGAATATTCCCGAATATTTCCGGCCCCAAATATTTTGTACAATCATTTTCACTTTTTGCTTGCTGGTTTCTAAGTTTTGGTAAATATTTCATTTTATTCTTTATGATTATAAATTTGTAACATTATTTTTTTAATGAAACATTAACAATTAACAGTGTGTTTGAAGCAATGGGAAAAAAACCACATGATGTGATTTGGAGCTGCTTCACGAAGGAGGGAAGAGGTGTGGAGTGCAAGTATTGCAAGAAAAAGTATGTAGTTGCAAACGTCACGAAAATGACAAATCATTTGTCATCGTGTTTGCATTGTCCGGATAAAATTCGTCGAGCCATTCGAGAAAATCGGGCCGAGGCTTCGTTCGCACAAGAAAGAGTTGACCTGGATGAAACATCGATGTCAAATGACTCAGTGGTTTCAACAATTTCAACGCCAACGACAAGCACGCCAAATTCATTCAATTCGTCAAACACTCTTCGTGGATTTTTCGATAAAATCAGTCCCGCCGTTAACGCAGAATTACAAGAACAAATGGCAAAGGCTATCTACGTAACAGGAACGCCTTTGGGATTGTTTGAGCATTCACTTTGGATCAATTTTTTCAACACACTTCGACCATCGTTCACATTGCCAACCCGAAAAACAGTGTCGACAAGTTTGTTAGAAAAACAATACAAAAAAATGGAGACAGAAGTGCAAGAAAAATTGAATGAAGCACCCAATCTGCATCTTCAGTGTGACGGTTGGAGCAAATTTCGCAATGAATCGATTATCAACTTTGTGATTTCCTCTCCATCACCACTATTCGTCAAATTTTTGGAAACAAAGGATGAATCACACAGTGCTGCTTATTTATTTGAAAAAATGGATGAGGTGATGCAGCAATATGGCGCTGATAAATTTTTCGTGGTGATTGGTGACAATGCGTCAAATATGCAAGCTGCTTTGAATTTAGTAAAAAAAAAATATCCATACATCGTACCGCTTGGCTGCATTTCACATTGGATGAATCTACACTGTGGTGATGTCATAAAATGCAAATCAGCAAAACAAACCATTGACAAAGCAAAGCGCATCATCAAACGAATCAAGAAAAGTCATAAATTGTCTGCATTGTTTTCGAAATTGCAAAAGGAAAAGAAAATCGATTGTGCATTGAAGTTGCCTGGAAAAACACGTTGGGGCAGCGCGCTGTTTTCTTTACAAAGTCTTTCGGTGAATCGCAATATTATTCAAGTTCTGGTTGTCAGCGATGCGGCAAAAGATATGTTCAAATCTGAATTGAAACACTATTTTGAGTGAACCATTCTGGAACAAGGTGAATACGTTGATAAAGGTTTTGACACCAGTCATTGCAACAAACATCGAACTTTAGGGAGATGGTATTTTGATACACAAAGTTCACAAACTCGTAACAGACCTTGAAGAAAAAATTAAGGAGGCTTTGCAATCGGACAATACATTTACAGTCAAAGAAAAGCAAACAATCCTGTCAAATTTCAAATCGCGCAAAGACAGTGCAATCAAACCAATACATTTAGCAGCATCAGTATTGTTTCCGGCAAGCAGTGGATCTGATTTGAATGCAGATGAATCAATCGAAGCCTTGGAGTTCATTTATGAAACTGGTCAAAATATGTTACTAGACACTAAAGTGCTCTTAGGAGAGATCGCTGATTACAAAGAAAAAACTGGTCTTTGGAAAGAGAATTTTGTTTGGGCGGCTATTGATGAAATGTGTCCGTTGCAATGGTGAAAAACCTTTTATTCACAAACTGTATTATCCAAAGTTGCTGTTCGAATTTTGTCCGTTCCAGTTTCATCAGCAGCGACTGAACGTTCCAACAGCACATTTGGCTGGATCCATTCAAACAAACGAAACCGTCTTCTAACGGAACGAGCTGGTAAAATTACATACCTAGCCCACAATTGGAAACTGTTGAATCCATTGAAAAAACGGGTGAACACAACAAGTGCTCAACGTGAAAAAAATGATGTTGATCCTCAAACTTCAAATGTTGATCCCCAAACGTCAAACGACTCTTCAACCGAGGACGATTTTGAAAGCGAATTCGAAATTCTATCAACAGACTCTGATGAATCAGACGAATAAATGTCATGAATAGTGATAAAAAATACAATCTTTTCCAATAAAGAGCAATTTTTTTTTTTTTTCATAAAATGTGCGTGTATTTTATTTAAAACTGTATAAATAAAAATTGATTAAAGTATTTGGACGAGATTTTATAAATTCCCATTTTGGGAATATTTCCGGGAAAATATCAATTTTTCTTCCCGACAAATATAAATTCCCGCATTTACCAATCACTAACCCTGTATCATGTACACTGTACCCTGTATAGTGTACGCAAAAAATCAATAGGTAATTTGTTAGCACGATAACTCTTCTTAGAAAAAAGCAAATCCAAATATGATTTTACAGGGTGATTAGGGGTTGCGAGGAATAGGCTGGTATTGTTTTTCAGCGATATTCGTGCATCGGTGTATCCATGGTGACACCATGATGGAGTACCCATAAGGGGTATGGTATGCAAAAATTTGTTAACTTGATAAATCTTTCCCCAGAGACGTAAATTCAAGTTTGAAATGTGTATTGGGGGTTTTTTTGGCACGAGAAATCCGAATCCGACGATAATTTTGAGATACAATCAAGTTTTAACAGAGTTTCTTTGAAAAAAATCGCGAAAAATTGAATTTTTGTATGGGAGCCATGCTTTTATGCAACCTTAATTCCTTAATAAAATGAATAGCATTTGAGAAAATTTTGTATGGGGAATACCCCTACTTTTAATTGAAAAGTTAATAAGATTCACAAGTTTTCTATGTGCTTTTACCATTTAATGTAAGATATAGCCTAGGGGCTTTTAAGTACAAATGCATACTACTATTACAGTATATAATATATTGAAACATAATGCTATATATTGAAACATAATGCATGAATAGTCATGTATATATGAAGAATGTGCACATATAGATGTATATAACTGCATAAATTCGGTGAATATTTCATATATACATATTTTTCCATTCTCTTTTGTGCGAACTTTCTTCGTTCCTGTGTGTGTACCGTGAATATAGAATATACAGTATAAAATACAGTATATTGTGAATATTTTGTAAAATATATATACTTAAAAGCCCCTAGGATATAGCATATATCACATCAAAATACGTTTCAATAGTTGACGGCAGGAAGGAATAAATGAAATTTTTATTTTTTTTAATTTTTGAAAAAAATGAATGATTGAAAAAGCTGATAACTGATGGCAAATAATAACTGTTCTTATTATACTATTTAGTTTTTAAGTCGACACAACGGACTATTATACTATTATTGTAAACTCTTGTTACATGTTCTTTTCGTCATAAAAATGAATAATGTAGTCAAAATTTATCTCCCAGATTTCCCCAAAATTCATTTCGGGGGAATTTTTGTTTTTAATCGATTTTTTGATATTGAGGTTTTTTCCCAAATAAGTGGCCTTGTTATTGTTATTATTATTATTACTTTTCCGCATACCTAGTGTAGGAAAGGTATTGTATTAGGCCAAAAAATTAAAGTCACCCCAAAACATGTTTTCTATGCATATTTAATGTAGAAAACACGATTGGAGATGATTTTGGGGCATATTAATGTGCGTCGCTGTGTGTGCTGTGTCCTGTCTCCTGTGTCCTGTGGCGTGTTGCCAAAATTTGTTAACTCGATAAATCTTCTTCCAAAAACTCAATTCAAATTCTGACCTTACAGGATGATTTGGGACTACTAGGAGACGTGCTGATAAGTTTTTGAGCAATATCTGTTGACCGGTGTAATTTTTTTTTGGTCCGAATGGAGTACCCACAATCCATACATTTTACATTTTTGATCATTTTTCAATCATTTTGGTGACACCGATGGTTTCGTGCAGACATGAAATTCAAAATCTAACTTTACGGGATGATCGGTCACTACGAGGAATAGATCTGGTCAAATTTTCAACGACATTGATTGATCGATGTAAAACTTAGACTGTGAAGAGGCACTTATGAGAAAAATGCCTTAAAATGATATTCTTTCAATTTGAACGCTGAAAGAATGTGTAGTGGGGGGTTTTTGGGCACGAGAAACCCGAATCTTATGTTAGTTTTAAGATGAAATCAATTTTTCACAGACTTTTCATACAAAAATCCACAAAAAATTTCATTTTTGTATGAAAGACTTGCGTTTGTGGTACCGTAATGATGTGAAACTTTGAAAAGGCTATTTTTTTTATTGAAATTTCTTTAAACTTGGTGTGATTTTTTATTTTGATAAGAAAATAATATTCACAAGTTTTCACGGTAATTTAAGTTACTGCAACCATACATAGACCATAATTTCTATTTATTCCCAAAATTTCGGTTCCATGCGGAAAAGTCAGCTTGCGTACGTAAGCCTCTTTATTATTAAATTGTTTCAATCCGCAATATACGACGATCGCTTTATTTCTAACAAATGTAATACACAACGTACACATGAAACGTCATTGCACTGCTGTTAGAATTTACACAAGTGTGTAATACACGCTGTGTATTACTGCGGATTAATATGGATTACTACTCACAACATAGAATTACTTTAAACAAAAATTATTATTCTAGTACTGCTCTGCCCCTAGGTGTAACGTCTTTATTTAGATTATAATTATTTTTAGAAGAAAAACTAATTACTTTAAAGAACGTATATTTATTTTCAAATTTTATTTAATGCACTCATAAATGTTTAATTTTATCATATTACATCAATTCCATTACATTTGTTAATATAATCCTAATATGATCTCCGGGAAATGGCATAATTAGTAGAGATGTCTCCTTTAATTTTTTTTTTAAATACCGACTTTGTCCAAATTATGCCAAATTTCAAGTTATTTTTTATATTTATTGAAATCGCTCCAAAGTTTGTTAAACGGTTCATTTAGCGTCAAAACATTTAAATCGTTGGCATTTGAATTGGCCATGGAAATATCTCCACCATTATCATAATTATTCACGTAATTATGTGGCTCGATGGATGCATTACCATAATTGAATTGATTAATTGGCAGCATATTTGAATTTATGTTATAATGGTTAGTTGGGTCATCAGAATAATTATGATAATGGGGCTGTGGTACCGGCGTATTCAAGACTGATCGATTATACTCTGCTTGTGTCACGTTAAGAGAGTTGGAATTCGGCAAATAAAGTGGTTCTACATAGGGAGACGGTATAAAAGAAGAAAATCCAACGGCGTAAGTATTTTCGATTGGCACTGTGTTGGGAGGTGATGCGAAGCCAGGTGAACCGGTGAAGTTTTTCTGAAATTGAACGCTGCAATGTATTGAACAAAAAAACGACATTATTTGAATGATGTTGAAATTTGGGTGTTTTTAATTCATAAAGAATACCTCTGCGACTGTACGGGTGACGGTGATGGTCGAAATGGTATTGACGGTGAGAAGTTAGGGCTGGGCAAAGTCGATATATTAGAAGAAAATCCAGTGGCGTAAGTATTATCGTTTGGCACTGTGTTGGGAGGTTCTGTTGCGAAGCCAGGTGAACTGGTCAAATTATTTCCAGATTCAAGGCTGCAATGTAAACAGAATAACTTGAAACACACTGAAATATTGTTATTTTCAATGCTCAAAGAATACCTCTGTGGCTGTGACGGTGAAGGTACAAATCCCGATGAGGACACAAATCCCGGTTGCGATGAATTATCGGAAGAGGGAATAAGAAGTTGTGATGGTTCAAATGGTATTGCCGGTGAACAGTTGGCCAAGTGATAAGGTGCCATAAAGGTATCAGACGGAAATCCATCCGATGCATGAGGCAAAAATCCATTGTGAACAGGAATTTTATTTGACAATGTGCTGATAGTTGATGAACTGACGCTAGGTGAAGCGATTGATTGATTTATTCCAGATTCAACGCTGTATTCAACAAAGAAATAATAAGCTTTAAACGTGATTGAAATATTGTTTTTTTTTAATACTTGAAAAATACCTCTGTGTTGTTGGAGAATATAATGTTGATGACGACCCCGAAGGGTTGGCGTCAAATCGCGAATGGGCATCTATTCTTTCCACGTAACCATCTTTTGATTTTTTTACACTTTTATAGTATTTATCGAATGCCTCCAATTTCGACATACCATTCCAAAAGTGTGTGCATTCTTCTAATCTAGAGATAAGATTGCCAATTCCATAATACTCCGGATCATTGGGTCCATGATTTATTATTTCAAATTCTTTAAACGCAATTGGCGTTAACTTCTTTATCGTTCCATCGCGTGCAACATAAACAGGAGTCAGTGCCCCTAGAAATAAAACGATGAAAAAAAAACTCCGTCACAAAATGCTTTACAATCACGTGATGAGCTATTAAGGCCTTACCAATTACACAGTCAGAAAATCTCAGCAAAAAAGTACCAACTGGTCGATTGTGAAGCTGCTTAGCGCTTAATTTGCTACTCGAAAAACCGTCAATACGTCCATCCTTCCATGCATCACTGAGACATTTTTCGACAAATCTGATGTTGCCAAAAAACCATTCCCAAAAACTGAAATCAACTTTCGGCATTTTAACGCATGATCGCGACCACACAAATTCACCATTTTTGATGATTCCATTACTACACTTCTCATCTGCAAATGTGAATCAAATTGAATAAATAACGATCGAAATGACAATTAAATGATATACTCACGCAATGCTTTTAAATTCAAATCGCTCAAATCG